CCCGGCCCGGCTCATTGGCTGCGGCGCAGAGGGGAGGAGAAGGGGCGGCCGTGCGGTCTCATTAGCTGTGTGGACTCGCTCCTTGGCTCGGTAGTCCGTCGCCCGGCAGCGGCGTGAGGGCTGTGAGCGACGCGGCGGGGACCGGGGGAGACTCCGGCAGCGGTCGCACCTCCAAGGGGAACTATGGGGATGCGCGCTTTCTCTGGGTGCCCGTCCAGCGGCGACTCGGAGCTCCCTGCCCCGTTGCCTTAGGGAGCGGCCGTGGAACAGTCACTCGCTAAAGCCCCCCGGGACCCACTCGTCTCGGCCCCTGCCTCGTCGTGCCTCTCACGGACTCCTGCGGCGTGGAAGAGGAGCATGGCGAGAGCGGCCGCCGCAGGAGGAGGTGGCGGAGGGGCGCGCCGGTGGCTCCCGTGGTTGGGGCTCTGCTTCTGGGCGGCCGGGGCTGCGGCTGCCCGAGGTAAGCGCTGGGCAGAGCGGGCGGCTGGCCTGGGGGCGAGGGCGAGGGAGCGCCAGCCACATTGAGTGGGACCCGCACTATGGCGTTGGCTTCACAAGTTGCGCCTTGCACCTCTCCGCGCGCGGAGCGGAACGGTCTGGGAGTAGAGCAGAGGACCTCCGAGACGACCACTGCCTCCCACCCTAAGTTTGCGATCTGCTGCAATCTTACAGGTTGCTGTGACCGGGCCCCTGCCCTTTACACTCATCACCTGCTCCATTTTCCAAGCCCTCCCCAATTCTGCAGACTGGAGTAGCCCTCTCTTCACTCCAGTCTCACTCTTCGCTGTTCCCCCTACTTCCTTCCGAGGCGAGATCATTAATGGGTGGGTGCCCAGGATGATGTGCGAGAGTTGCTGGGGAGAAGGGCAGAGTGATGAGGCGTCCTTTTACGGTGAGGAGGCTTGAATAGAGAGGGCGCCTTTTTCCCTTAAGGGAGCAACACTCATACTGAGGTCCCCTCACTTGGACCAAGCGTGGCATTCATCCCTTGGGCGACCCTAGTCTGGGGTCCTAGCTAGCATTGGGTTTTCCTGCGTGGAGGCAGCGTGTGTGCTGGAGCTCTGGAGAGCTAAGTGCACCTCCCGGTTTAACTGCGTCTGCAGTGCCGAGCTGGGATAAGCAGTTGGCCCGAGGCTGCTCACCCGGCGCCTCCAGCTAGCGAGCGCGCGGCCCCAGTGAGCAGCCGAGAAACCTCTCTTCATTCTGACTGGAAGCGTAGATCCCATTTTCCTGGTTCCTCGGGACTCCGGCAGAGTGAAATTTTGCAACTGGTTTCAGCTCCACCTTGAGCGAGGACAGGGAGCTTCAACTTGAAAATAAATACCAGGGACTTATTTTGAAGATGCTTAGAGGCAATTTCAGACATAGCTCGAGTACTGTGGCTTTACCTTTGAAATATTCCGGAAGCTTCTCTTTTCCGCCCTCCTTTACCCTTCTCCGTCCCTGTTTGCCTTCCATTAGGCTTAGAGTATGTGATTGCATTAAATGATTTACCTAACGCTTGTCTGACGAGAGGTGGAACTGAGCTGACCGCCTCACCTTCCGCTCTGCTCGCTCTCCTGAACGTATTCTGAGTAGGCTTCTGAGTAGCCGGGAGACGGAAGGGTAGTGGATGATCATAAAAGAACCAATATAATCTCATTTTTGTAAAAGCTAACGGTGTGTTAAAAGCAGTCGTGCTGCCTGGATTGAAGAATTAAAAAGAGAGAGAGGTGGATAGAGGCTTTCCGTTTTACGAATCTGTTCTATGACTATTTGCATTTCATTTCCTGAAAAGTTTTTTTTTTTTTTTAAATGGAGTAAGCGTTTAAAAAGAAAGAAAGCCTTAGACATGAGCCTCACTGATTGCACACACTGGGTTGTGGTGAAGCATTTTCTTTCTCCCTTGCTGGAAGAAGCACAAGCTTCAGCCATTTAATTTACTACGGAGAATGCTTCATTGCAAAGTCAGCTCTGAGTTGTTTCTATACACGGTTATGGGCAAGAGCGACCTTTTCTTTTCTAAATGTTAGTCTAAGAGTCTGAGTTTTCACTTACTATTCGGTGCTGAATACCTAACAGTGACTGACTCTGTGTACTAACTCCTTAGAATTTGGTTCCTGAACTTGCCTTGAAGCCAGTTCTAAACAAGAGGTGGGGATGTGCCAAAAGCTTCTTGGAGCGGAGTTTCACTGACTGTGAAACTAAGGCTAGCACCTCTTGTCTGCAAGCTGTTCTTTAAAAATCTCCTGGAAAACATACTGTACACTCTGCAGGCTTATTTACAGCAAATGTCTTGCACAGATTGTAGTAACAACGTTCAAGACACATGGAGCAGAGCAGTAAATCTGACTAATATTTCCCTTGCAATATTTTACTTTCTGGGGCATGAAGCCCATTATTTTTAGTGTCTGTCAGAGATGCCTTGAGAAATGAGCATTAAGCAAGCTCTGAAACCTGTGAAGCCACATACCCCTGGCTTTGGACAGGACAGGAAATGGGCAGAGTTGGAGTTTTCAGAACAAAGGGTGGGTTTCAGTGTTACTTAAGGTCTCCCATCGCAGCAAGAAGGTGTCCCACTCATTACAACCAAGATGAGGCGCGCTTGTAGGGTATGCTTGCTGAGTACTCTCCCCATGCTGTATGGAGTTGGCCTTAGGTGATTCTTGTTTATCCAAGTAAGTAGGCTTTGTTCTACCAGCCTTTTCATGTTGATCTGAACCAAGAAATTCTACCTTTGCTTACCAACAGGTTGTGTGGGATTATGCCATTTGATTTTATAGTAGGAGAATTTTTAACAATTCAGGAACTTTTTTTTTTTTTTTACAATATTTATCATTTATCTATTTCTAAGATGATTACCCCAATCCCCCCCCC